CTAGCCGCCCAGCACATCGCTAGGAGAGCGGAGCGCCAGGGGAACTGGTTTGCAGATGAACTGGGGGGGGGGAGCACAAGGGAGACGCCCATGCAGAGCCGCGGGCAGGGTGTACGGGTGCTGGACAGGAGTGAAGCGAGGTCACCAGGCCTCGGGATTCAGGAAAGGACTCTGCCCAGCTGGCTTTGGGGTGCTACCTGGCAAAGGCTTCCCAATGGTCTCTGCCTTTACTGTCTGTTCAGCGACGCTCACGTCGAAGTCAAATGTCACAGGGGCCCCCCAACATCCCCCCCAATCAGGCTGCGAACCTCACCGAGCAGTGGGGATGTGGGCCAGTGCCTCCCTGAACTCCGCACCCTCCTGCCTCTTTCCCGCCTGACTGTGGGGGGAATACCAGAGGCCAGAAGCCGTCCCCTGCGGGGGCAGTCGAGGAAGACCACCAGCCAACAGCCAGGTGACCCGAGGCGGCACAGACAGCACCCCTTACCTAAGGGGCCCTCTCTGGGAACTGTCAGCACCTGTCCCCAGGCTGTGCCCCGCAGGAGAACCAGCCCCGCACCCCTGCTCGTGGCCGGTCCTCTTCTGTAAAAGCAACAGGTCCCAGAGTTCCAAAATGCCAGGCTACCGCAGAAAACGCATGTGCCCAAACCGCCCAGGGAACAGCCCCAGAGAAGTAGCCGGAAGCCAATTCTGAAATGAGTCACCACGTCAGCCAGAAGGGAACCAGAAATCACCCCCCGAGCACTTGCTGAGCCCTGTGCACAAGCCCAGCCCCATCCTCCGCTCTGGAGAACAAGGGTGACCCAGAAAAGCTGGCTGTGCTCAGGGAGCTTCCTTCCACACCCACTGTGCGGCAGGGCTGGGGGAGGTGGGGCGGGGAGGCTGCAGCTGCAGACCCCACACTGGGCATGGGACGTCCCAGACGGAAGGGATGGTGCATCGCTGAGCAGACCAAAGTGGGGTCTTCCAAAGCCAGGCCAGTGTCAAGCCCAGACGACCCACCATGTCACATCAACTACTTCTTGCTTCCAGATGGATACGTGGAGACACTGAGAGGTCCACCGGGTCCTCAGGGCTGGATCCGTGAGAGGCTGGGACTGGCCACGAGGCTCCACCAGGACGCCATTCTGCCCAACAAAACTGCCTCTCAGTAAGTACGTGCTGTTATCACCTGCCGGGGCCCCTGCAAGAACCCGCCCCCCCAGCAAACGCTGCTGTGCATCCCAAGAAGTAGTATCGGGAATTCACTTTATCTGTATGTTGTCAAAACTCGGAGGTCTTACAAGTGACTCTAGGTGTTAAAAACAACAACAAAAAACTTTGAAAGCTAAAAACCTGAAATGAGTCTTTGATCTTTTCCAAAAATGTTTGCATCTGTATTTATATAAACGCGACTGTCTGCAAAAGGCCCAACGGAGCCAGGGCTGAGCGTGCTCTTGCCAGTAAACACTGTTCATTTTGTATCAGCTGGAAATAGAATTCACTTCACATCTCAAACCCTTCAGAACACCTTTCTTCCTTCTAAACACCCATATGCAATTTTTTTAAATACACAGATATGCAATGTTTGGAAGAAGAGACCCCCCAAACCTTTCCCGCAGAATACAACTAATAGTTATTTTGTTCCACATATGTCCCTGTATTTTCAAATTTTTCGGCAAGGAACCTGTATCATTTTATAAGCAGAAAAACTAATTTTTTAAAGACTGGAATAGGATCTCCTCTTTTTTAAAAGGATATATAATGTGTTAGCTGTCTCTGTTGTTGTAACTCCAATCAGAAATTCCAGCCCCAAATATTTCATTTATACTAGAGAAAGGTAATCCGCTGCGTAAAAACATTATCTACTATCATCAAAGTTAAACAAGCCAAAGATAGTAACTTGAGTTAGGAAGACGACATGGGGGGCACCTGGGTGGCTCAGTTGTTAAGCGTCTGCCTTTGGCTCACGTCATGATCTCAGGGTCCTGGGATCAAGCCCCGCATCAAGCCCCCCATCGGGCTCCCTGCTCGGCGGGAAGCCTGCTTCTCCCTCTCCCACTCCCCCTGCTTGTGTTCCTGCTCTCACCATGTCTCTCTCTGTCAAATAAATAAATAAAATATTTAAAAAGAAAGAAAGAAAGACCACATGGGCACATCAGGCTCAGACTCAGCTCAAATCCCAGCTCCAGCACACACGACCTGTGCAACCTCAGGCAAGTTTCATAACCTCTCTGATCCACCATTCCCTGGATCTATAAAATATCAGCTGTGAGAACTGCAGGACTGCCAGGGACAGTAAGAACCCATGTGCCTGAAGGCACACAAAGCCCCCCCACCCCCGCCACACACACACACCCCAAACAAAAAACAGACCCTCACTTTAATTCTGCATGTTCCAAATGTGACAAACACTGGCTGATAGAAAATTAATGGGCAATTCAAATTATTTTCATTTGAAAACAGATGCAAATAAATTTTCAAAGTAAAACATGAGACTTGAAAGCAAGGTGCGAATGGTCACATCCACGGGGGGGGGGGGGGGGGAGTAAACACCAGAGGGACATCTGACAGGTCCTCACTGAGTGCCTAGAACTAGCCGGCTGGTCCCGGTCATTAAGTGGTAGCTACTATTATTACCTTTAGGAAGGTAAGTAAGAAAAAGGTGCCGTCTGCCTGTCTTAACAGCCGGCACACAGCGATGCGGCAGGCTTTTTAACTGCAGTATGTTGCTAAGTGCCCAATGCATTCCCGGCGATGTTAATATATGCTAAGCAATCGATACGGCTTATCAGATCTAGAAATATGTAGGGAAGATCAGAAGCCAGAAAGAAAGCAAACACACAGCCTAAATTTTCATGGAAGTAATTACCACCGTAGAGGCAACACCCACACACACAACAATCACATTGATTTCCCCTTTCAATGCTCAGGAGCCAAATCAACGTGGGGAGGCTCTGGGCTGTTTGATTCCGAGACAGGGGGAAGGAAAAGACGCAGGAAAGAACAGAGGCTAGAGACTTGGCCATGCTCATAATCGGAATTCAAACAGCACTGGTTCTTTTTCTTATCAGAAACTAGAATCTTGACATTCCCACTGGAAAGCTGGTCAGTACCCATCGGCATTCGACTACCCCCTGCACAGGGGGGGTGATCGCTGGGAAGCGGAGCGGAGGCCGACAGGGGATCATCACCCCACTGCCGGCTTCGATTCACACGTCTATTAGTCAACCAGCTGCACACACCATCCATTTAATTAACCTGCTCTTGAATTATTTATCTTCCCCCGAGTGAGAGGAAATTCTTGCTGGTTACCTGCTCTGCTCCAGGGGCTTGTTCAGAGAACCCCAGTGCTGACAGCTTGATGGAGCTCTCGGCTACCTGCCACCCTCTGGCCAAGACAAGAACATAAAGAAACAGCAACTGAAGTATTCCCAAAAGGGGGGAGTCGTTAGCCTTCGGGAATGCAAATGACTCCCCCGATCCGGGGAAGCACAGAAAGCTCCTTTGAAACACATGAGCAGGTATGTGCTGCACTGTTTGGGCGTGATCTGTTCTGCACCCCTATTTGTTCTAAATTAGGTAAAGTTTCCTTCTCCCTTAGCAACGTCAACAACTCGAGGCTCCTTTCTGCAGAGAGAATTAGACCCAGAATCCCGGGGCAGGGGAGGAGAGGCCACAAAATCCCATCACTTCTCGCTGCCCGATTTTTGATCAGCCCTGAAATTCCTGTCTGAATTCCTTCCCCAACCACCCCCCTTCCTAAACCTACTGATTCACAGACTTGCACCATCCAGACGCAAGGGGAAGCCTGGGGACCCCCCAGGTCAACGGTCACTTTGGAGACGTGGAAGGGAGCTTGTAGCCTGCTGCCAGGGTCCCTGTTCTTGCTCCCAGAGAGCCGGGTAACAGGACCGGCTCTAGCTTAGTTCCATCTTAAAAGAAACCCTCTCACTCCAGAAACCGCCCCTACTAAACACCAGCATCCCACCCACCCTGCAACTCTTCTGGTCGGGCATCCGCCCCTGCAGACGCGCCCTGTAAGGCTCGCTGCAGATGGAGACGAGCCTCCAGGAACTCATCCCAGGGTCCTTCCCCGCCCCCGGACTCGCTGGGCGTTGAGGCTGCGAGGCCCGGCTCCGTCTGGAACTCCCGACCTCTGCCCTTCTTCCCACCAGCTCCCGGCCGGCGAGGGCAGGGGGCAGAAACAGCCTCAGAGAAGGGGGCCCTGAGAGCGCTGGGCTTGCCGAGTGTGGCACCATCTCTGTGCGGCGGCCTCCCCGTGCCCCTATGCAGAAGTGCTGCACGTCCCAGACCCCCCACTGCACCTGCCGAACCCTCCCCGACTGCCCCCCAGCCGGCCCGGGGTTGGGGCGGACCGCGGGACGCCGGGGGCGGGGAGTCTGACACCAGCGGGGGCCCTGCAGGGGCTGGGTGGCTGGGCCGGGGGAGCGGAGGACAGGGAAACTCGTCGCCCGCCGGGGCCTCTCCTCGCGGGACAGGCGACCCCCGCCGCTGGCCCCCTCCCCTCCGGGTCCCGCTCGCCGCGCGCCCTCTCCAGCGGCTCTCCCGTCGTGTTTCCGCTTTGTCTACAAACGTGTCTAAACGCAGCCCACCGCAGACGCTGACATTTTCAATGTTTAGTTGTTATAGTTACTTGACTAATTGCCGGGACGACAGCAGTGCCCCTCCTTCGCTCCCCGCGGGCAGGGAGGAGCAGGGTAGGCGGGGGTGCCGCCCCGCGCCCCAGGCCCAGCACGGGGGCCTCGCCCGGGAACCGACGCTCCCTCCGCCCCCCGCCAGCAGCCGGGCTCCGAGGGCGCGCGCGCCGCGGGCTCGGGATGCCGCTAACTGTCCCCGGGCCCGGGACCGGGCCGGCCGAGGGTGCAGCCTGCAGGTGCGCGGCGGCTGGCCTCCGGGTCCGCGGCTCGGGCCATGTCAGGTGCACTTGAGAGAAAGCGGGGAAGGAGAGGGTGGACGGGGCAAAAGAGAAGAGTTAGGAGCCGCTGCCGGTTACTCACGTGCCAGATGGCGAAGAAGATGAGCGCGGCGCACAGCACGAGGGACAGCATGTAGCAGAAAGCAGCGAAAGTGAAGGCCATGGCCAGCGGCGGGGCCGCGCACACCCCAGTCCCGAGGCACACCAAGAAGGTCCTGGGAGGCCAGCGCCCCTCGAGGACCGCACTCCCTCCTAGAGGGGCAGACGGGGCTAGGTCGGCACCTTCGCGTCGAGGCCGGAGGCCGGGGAGCCTCGAGGGTCAGGGGCGGCGAGCAGAGCCGGGATCCCGAAGCGGCGGCGGCCCGGACGCCAACCCGCCCGCCCGCGGACACACGGCAAGGTGCTCCGGCGTCGCTGGCGGGAACAGTCCCCAAACCGAGGAAACCAGTCAGTAGAGAACTCGTGCAGGCGAGCGCAGCCAGAGAGCCCCCGAGGCCAACCAGGCGCCCGAGCCCGAGGGGAGGCGGACGCGCCAGCCGGGACCCTCCCGCGCCGCCCGCAGAGCTCCTCCCAGACCGCAGAGGCGCCGGCGCTCCCTCCCGCGAGCACAGGTCTTGCGGGGGTCGGAGGGGCGGGTGCCCCGCGCGGCGACCCGACCTCCCCGGCAACCAGGCTGGACCGGGCGCGCACGGCTCCGGCCCCGCGGGGCCTGCCTGCGCCCCGGCGTCCGCAGCGGCGGGTTTCAGGCCAGGAGCCGCGCCCGCCGCGGAGCTCGCTCCACCTGCTGCCGCCGCCGCCTCGGCCCCGGCCCCGGGCTCCGGCTCCCGCGAGCGCGCCCTCCCCGCCCGCCGAGCTGCGGCGGGGGCGCTGGCGCCGTGCTCGCCCGCCTCTCCCAGGACACCTGCGGCGGGCGGCGCGGGCGGGGACTCGGGACACGTGCGTCTGAGGAGGTGGGAGCTGCGGGCGGGGACCGAGCGTACTCGCGCCCCGCCGCGGCCGCCGCCCGCCGGTGCTCGCAGCGTCGCCCAAGCGGGCTGGCCTTGCGTAGCTGCGGACGCGGGACGAGCCCGTGGGCCCCAGCACTGCTCGTGTAGCGCCCTTCACGCGGGGCCGTGTTTGCAAACGCCTGGAGCGGCGGCTTTCCCTCCGAGCGCCCGCCCTCCCCCGCCATCTGACCTTGGGAGACCCAGACCCTGTCTGGGCTGAAGAGGCAGCCGTGGGGGGCTCTGCTATTGGTGCTGGTACATGGAACTGTCAAGAGCATGTGCCTCTGGAGTCGGACCCCTTCGCGAAAGTTCCTTAACCTCTTTAAACCTGTTTCCTTATCTGAAAAAAATCGGGTAAGCGTACTACCAATCCATGTCAAGGGGTTAAGTGGGAACATAAGAACCTAGCGCAGGGCCTGGCCCTGGCTACACGTTCGATAAATGGTAGGGTTATAATCTGCACACTTTGCCCCAGTGGCCCAGCATCTTGGAAATGCCCCATGCTTCCTGTGTAAGGGATTTCTGAAAGAGCCCAGAGGGGTTCCAGTCATTTCAGATAGTTCTTGGGAGCCTGGAAACACATCGTGAGAATGGATCTCAGAGCACCTGCTGTCTTGCAGAGTGCACGCTAAATAAATAGTTGTTGATCGATTCTGACACTGGTGTGCTAAATGCCACGTGCACAGCTTTGGAGCTGGAGGGAATGGCTTACAGAGAGCTAGTCCTAGACTTGCCAGGACAGAGCTAGGATGAGACCTGCACACTCCTGGCCCAGGGGGCTCCCGGCCATACCCCAACATTCTTGCAGCTGTTTGGGCACACCTCCAACTCATAAACTAGATGCCTTTCAGTGGGAGGTACAGAAACCAGAGCAAGCCCAGTGGCTGTTGACAGAGGGTCCACGGATCAGCATTTAACTGCCTCTGGGTGAGGGCTGGCTATGCAGGACTGGGAGGACTCCCTGTTCAAAATTATTAAGAATTTCAAGATAGAGGGGCGCCTGGGTGGCTCAGTCCGGTTAAGCCACTGCCTTCAGCTCAGGTCATGATCCTGGAGTCCCGGGATCGAGTCCCGCATCAGACTCCCTGTTCGGCAGGGAGTCTGCTTCTCCCTCTGACCCTCCCCCCTCTCATGCTCTCTCTCTCTCAAATAAATAAATAAAATCTTTTTTAAAAAAAGAATTTCAAGATAGAAGCAGCAGAGCATTCATCCAAGTGTGAGGCCCTTCTGACCACAGGACCTTGGGCAACTGTGGAGGTTTTGCACCTGTGAATCCAGCCCCACTCTGGTTTACAGTCTTTATCACTTTCTCTTTTACGTGTATGTCTTCTAGCATAAATCCTCGTTAAAGAAAATTTGGAAAATACGGAAATGAAAAAGGATGAAACAGACACCAGAGTTGGCCACTCGCAGACACCACCACCACCATGGGTCTGTGCTGCCTTCGAGCTCTGTTTGCCTTTCACTGTACATCAACCATTTCCTTATATCAGCCACTACGGTTGTGATTATACCATATAAGTTTTGTGGCACCAAAACAATAAGAAAATATCACAGGAAGATGGGAATCATTCAAATATTTTGAGTTCCTTCGGTGTTGATCTATTGTCTTTTGCTTCTGCTGGTTTGTGCTGACGGAGTCCTCACTCTTCCTATGTCCACTAAGTTTTTGTTGTGTGTCAAGCAGGTTTTTTTAAGTTCTTTGCAGAAATTCGAGGACTAAGATGATGTCATCTTTCTCCAAGGAGGATTTTCTACATCTTTTGCCAGGTGTCTGGGGGACACAAGCTTTCTAGAATTGTCTTGCTCCAAATTCAGGGTTTGAGATTTTCTGGGGTAACCAGAAGACCATGGTCTGTTTTAGGGCTGGTTTTCTTGGTTCACCCTTATCCACAAGGAGTGGTCCTTTTAGATCCCCGGCCAAAGCAGGTGGTTATCAATCCCAAGCCCTGGTGGTCCTTGGACCTTGGCTTTTGCCCCAAGCCCTACAAAGCGCATAAGTCCCAACTCACACTCTTACCCTTCCTCCAGATTAGCAAATGCCCCGAAGGGCAAAACTGGCTCCCAGTGCTAGGCTGACCTGTCTGGATCCTGCCCACTCTCAGAACTTGGCCCCAGTAATTCCTTACTCTCTGGGTAAGTCTTTGATGCCTATAAGAAGATGCTTTTAGATTTTATTCAGCTCTTAATTTGTATTTAGTGGGAGGATTGGTCTGAATGATCTAGCCCAGCATTACCAGAATCAGGAGTGTCTACATCAAAATAAAATATCAAACAAAAAAAAAAAATTGAATCCATTATCCTACCACTCTGACTTTCAAGGCTCCATACATACTTTAGCCTCGATTTTTCTTGACCTTTCCCCAGCCCTGCTTTATCTTGTGTCACCAATTGCAGAATTATCTGGGGGAGTAGAATCTCAGAAAATAAGAGGCAGTTACAGTTTATTAATTCAACAAATGTGATTTAGTGGTGGCGGGCACTGTCAGGGACTCGAAAGATTCCCAGCCTCCTCAGTGAGGTTATAAATAACTCCTTCACAAGGGAGCGTTGGAAGAGGGAGGAGGAGAAGAACTGCCCGTGACACAGTAGAGGACGGCAAGAGAGAAAGTAATGAGGAACGGATGTTTAGAGACCAACCGACATTGTTTCATCAACGGTAGACATTGAAAAGGCAATTGCTTTGTTTTTTCTCCTAGCCACCATGCAGCCACATGCGGCCATTTGACACTGTTTGAGCTCAGGAGATATATACTTCTTTTTGCCTGGAATGCAGACGGGACGCAGGGAGGTATGGCAGCCATCTTGTGACAATGGGGAAGAAATCAACACATCAAGAACGGAAAAGCTAAAAAGATAGAGGAAGTGCCATTGACAACATGATAAAGCCACCAAACCAGTCCTGAACGTCCTATCCTCTGACTTCTTACAGTGCGAGACAATAAAGCTTCTGACTTTTTTAAGCCACGAGAGTAAGGAATTCTGTCTGTTACTTACAGGTAAACACAATTCTTAACTGATACCATGGTTTAATGCAGGGGGGGTGTTTTCCTGGTTTTCCTGCTAGAGAGGAAATCAGGTGGATAATCAATTCAGGCCTGGTTGGCAGCTCCTTGACACCATCACTGTCCCCACTTCCTTTTACCTTCCTGACTTATATCCTTAGCACATGGATCTGGTTCTCATGGTCACAAGAAGGCTGCTGCGTCTCCATCCATGTTGCGGCCAGGACAAAAGGAAAGAGCCAAAAGGTCTCAGCCCATGAAGGCATATGTTTTGGGAGAGTAACGGAAACCCTCTCCTGCATTTGCTTGGCCAGCACTCCGGCACTCAGCTGCCGTTCCTAGTTGCAAGTGAGTCTGAGAAGATGAATCTTTTCTCGTCTGGCCTTTATCAAATAGTAAGGCAAAGAAAAAAGGGTGTTTTTTTTTGTTTTTTGGTTTTTTTAGATTTTATTTATTTGAGAGAGAGAATGAGAGACAGAGAGCGCGAGAGGGAAGAGGGTCAGAGGGAGAAGCAGACCCCCCGCTGAGCAGGGAGCCCGATGTGGGACTCGATCCCAGGACTCCAGGATCATGACCTGAGCTGAAGGCAGTGGCTTAACCAACTGAGCCACCCAGGCACCCGAAAAAAGGGTTTTGAGTGGCCTTTTGGATATCCACATTTCTTCCATACCCATTAGTGGGGTTTTCACTCATAAAACTTTCAAACGTAGAGGCGCCTGGGTGGCTCAGTCAGTCCAACTCCCGATTTCGGCTCATGTCACAATCTCAGGGTCTTTGGGTGAGCCCTCAGCGCCGTACTCAGCAGGGAGTCTGCCTCTCCCTCTCCTTCTGCCCCTCCCCCACTCACATGCATGCTCTCTAAATAAATAAATAAAATCTTTAAAAATTTTTTCAAATGTATAGGGAGGTAGAAAAAGAAGTATTAGTGAGCATCCATCTCTGTATCACCCACATTCTACAACCATCAACATTTTGCCACACGTGTTTCCTGGTTGTCCCAAATTGTATTTTACAGCTGGTTTGTTCCAACCAGAATGTAAAAATTTTCCCTCCACCCCTCACCCTTAGGACTTTTTAACCATTTTCTTGCTTGTGATCTATCCAACAATAATTCTTTCTAAGCTGAGCATCTGCCACAGACAGCTCCATGCTGAGCACGGTGACTGGGTTCGGGAAGCCCATGTCTGTTGCTATGTGTGCCTCCATATCTCT